GCTTTGTTCATAATAGCAAAGAGTTGGAAACAACCCAAGTGCCCATCAACAAACCAATGGATAGAGAAGCTGTGGTATATTCACACAATGGAATACTGTGCTGCATTGAAAAACAAGAAATTCATGTAATATTATACAAAATGGGTGACCCTGGAGGACATTATGCTAAGTGAAATATCTTAGTCACAAAAGGACAAATACTGTATAGTACCACTGTTGTAAAACGGGACTGACATTGGGGTTGGGGGAAACTGAGAAAGATGGAATAAGTTATGTATACTGCATTGAAACAGATGAGGGAGAGAACTGTTTAAAAGGGATATATGATTAGGTATTATTGTCATGACAGGCATCCAGAATCTGAATAGTGGAGTGAACTTAGGACTTGGGAGGAGGGAACTGTATAACAATGAAAGAATTTTTACTTTACTTTTCAAAGAGAAGAGTGAACTAACTGAGAAGGAGGAGTGGGCAGGGAGAAAAGTGCAACAATAAATGAATGGAAATCCAAAGTCTCTGTAAACGTTCATTAAAACTAATAATAAAAAAGTTCCAGAAATATTTAAGTCACAGGTACATAAAACAAGTAGCATGCTGTTGAAAGAAAGAATGAAAGAAAGAAAGAAAGCTCCCAACTAATTCAGAGATCATTTAAATTTATGCTCATTCAGAAGAAAGATTATGCAAGAAAATAATGAACAATCTCATGGGTAGCACATGGAAACAAAATTTGGATTAATTAAAAAGTAAAAAAAAAGAGTTATCATTGGAGGTCTGTTGGCACCGGGGGTTAAGCTTTGAGCTGTTGAACTAGAACCATCAATGCAAATCTCTACCAGTTCTGCTAAAGAATTACAGCCTCACAAACCTCATTTCCTTTCTTAAAAGGCTCATTATGCATCAAACTCTTCAGGATGCACAATGGGTTTTATAATAATGCATTAACAGGGAATTGCTAAAAATTCAAGCTGGATTCAGAAGAGGACATCAAACGAGGGATATCATTGCTGATACCATATGGAACTTGGCTGAAAGCAGAGAATACCAGAAAGATGGTACTTGTGTTTTATTGACTATGCAAAGGCATTCAATTGTGTGGATTATAACAAACTATGAATAACACTGAAAAGAATGAGGATTTCAGAATATTTAATTGTGCTCATGTAAAATTTACACAGAGACCAAAAGGAAGCTGTTCAAACAGAACAAAAGGATACTGCATAGCTTAAAAATGTGTATCAGGCTTGCATCTTTTCACCATATTTATTCAGCCTATACGCTAATAGTTTTCAAAATTCGACAGTATGAGGAATGTGGTTTCAAGATTGGAGGAAGAGTCATTAACAATGTTTATTATGCAGGTAATACAATCTTTCTTGATGAACCTGAAGTGACCTCAAAGCACTTACTGGTGAGTATCAAAGACTAACTACAGTCATCAAAGGAAATTATATCTTAAAATCAAGAGAGCAAAAAAGTTGCACAATTAGACCAGTATAAACAGTATCATGACAAAGAAACGCCTGAAGTTGTTCCTAATTTCGTGTGACTTGGATCTGCATTCATGTTACCTGGATACATGATCAAGACTCATGGAAGCAGCTGTCAAGAAATCAAACAATATATTGCACTGAGAAAGTCTATTATAAAAGATCTTCTAAAAGCTATGTCACTTTGAGGACGCGGGAGCCAAAGTATTTTCAGTCACCTTATATACATGCGAAAGCTGGACACCAAGTAAAGACGAAGAAGAATGATGCCTTTGAACTGTGATGCTTTCTAAAAGTGAATACCATGGAATGCCAGAAGAAAAAAAAAAATACATCCTTCTTGGCAGAAGGACAGCCAGAATGCTCCTCAGGAGAGAGAATGGTAAGTCTTTGTCTTATATACTTTGAACATGACATCAGGAGGACCCATTCTCTGGAGAAGCACATCATGCTTGGTAGAGGGTCAGCAAAAGAGGGAATGACTGACCGCTCACCAAAACACTGTGGACTGACACAGTGACAGCACCAATGGACTTAGAGAAATAATCGGGAGGTGGGCACAGAACTGGGTAGCTTTTGTTTGAGATGCCCAGGGGATTGCTATGGGACTTAAGTGCAGCTAACAGCAGCACCACCACCAACAACAACATATTTTCATATCAATCTAATTTACCCCAAACCATGGATATTAATCATATGAAGAAAATGATTAATTTTAAAAAGCACTTGCCTTCAGAGGGTACATACTTTATAAACTTGTTAATCACATGCTTCACAAATCACAAGCATTAACACCTTAGGCACTAGCAAGTAAACCTACATTTTCTTGAGTTCACACCTTTGAAAAAAGAAAAACTGGTAAAGGGGTTCATAGTTGGTTTGTCCATGCTCTCTCTGTATCATGTTCTTTAAACATCACTTTTCAGATTTTACATGTAGAAATCAATGTTTTTTAAAAATCAATTTTTAAACAATTAGTATGTTGGAAAAACAATTACAAGAACTGAAAAATAATCACACCAAAGGGCCAGGGTTAGCATTTATGACATCTCCCCTCATAATGATCATTCATTCTGTTCTTGGCTATCAGAAAAGCCAGAATTGGAAAGCTCAGGGCCCTCTTGGCTGCTGTAGTGTGGATGCAGGGCTGAGATTTCACTGTACTGCCTAGTGATCCATCTTACCCTGCATAAAACAATACTTCCAAATCCACTTATCAATGTCAGCCCACACTTAGTATCAAAGAAAGCCAGAATGAAACGATCAGATTTACACACTTCATATAAAAGGCTTCTTGCTCACCATGCTTAGATAAGTGCCCTGATGCACAGGGAAGATATTTTTTTAATGTCATCATGAATCAGTCTTTCTTATTCACATGTCTGCAGGAGTACCGTGGGCTATGCTAACCTCATTTTCCTCACTATTAGGCTGAAGAAGCATCGAGCTGCTTACTTTGAAATATATCTGCAGTGCCAACCTTTAAAAACTTTATCAAAATTCATTTGTCTTCTGTAAGAAAGGTCTGCCCATCTCTGACAGGCTGGGAGTTTCCAAAGGTATAGGAGTGAACATGGAGATGCCAGGAATGAGACTGTAAATGCTGCACACCAAGGCTGCTAGGACTTTTGACAGGGTGAAGGCTAATCCTGGGGCAGACTATCTTCTATCACGTTTGCACGTCTAAGGCCCGGGAGGTGTACATCAGGGATACGGAATTTATTCACACAGCAGAGTGGGCCCCACCACTTACTTGTTCCTGGAGAACTTTTAGTAATGCCTGTGTGTGGGACTGCTCTTCTTTAGCTTGCTCCAGTTCGGACTTTTTGTTGTTCAGCTCTTCCTGGATGGTCAACAGTTGCTGGGAAAAATCAAAGGAAATCTAGAGTGAGTAGGATCAGAGGCCAGATGACAGTAAACTGTTCAAAATACTGAGTCAAAATGACAAAGGACTTAGCCTAGATGTGTGTGTGTGTGTGTGTGTCCCTCATTTAGCAGTGCAGTAAGGTCCGGGCATGGGACAGTTTGCACCCAACTACTAAGGTTGTTGGCTCACACCTAGCTAGCAGAGCCACAAAAGAAAAGCCTGGCAATTTCTGTCTATAAACCTAACAGCCAAGGGAATTCTGAGGGGCAGCTGGGTTCTGCAACATCTGGGGCCACCATGAATCAGAACTGACTCGAAGGCATGTGTTTTCCATGTGTTTTAACTGATTAATATAGCACAGGAGTTGGGGAGGCAGGTATGCCGCCCAGGTTTCTAGACAGGTAAACTAGAGCTCAGAGCAGTCAACCGATGTCAAGCCGATTCGCAGTTCCTAAGCTGCAGAGCCCAGTGTTACTCTATAACCCCGTGGCTGCCTCACCTCGAGTCAGCTCAATGGCATGTGCATCTAGCAGTGGGCTGTTCATCAAACACCTACAGTCTAAGACATATCACAGAGCCATCTGTGGGATCAAGGCCCCAACCTCGTCAGAGCATTTGTGAAGAAGACATTGCTATGTTCCTTTGAGCAAATGCATATTTGTGTAATTACACAGATTACACAGATCAGTGTTAATAAACAACCTTTTGATGACTCAAGGAAGTAAAACAATAATTAAGAAAACCCTTAGCATAACTGGCCAACCTGTCAAGATAACGTGACTTTACCCATGGCGGAATAGGAAGTCTGTAGCAGCTCTGTGGAACCCCTCCACCCAGACACCAGGACCATGGACGCTCCTTTTACTTTGTCTGCTATGATGGTGATGTTTTATTAGATCAGCAGGACTGAAGTCCAAACAGCAATCAATATATCAGTCGGGAAAACTGCTGATATAAGCTGTCAAAACACTAAGCTATGGCCGACACGGCTATTTTTAAGCAGGGCCACGGAAGGGCTTTTGTGAGCCTTGCTCCCCGCTTGCCCTCGCAACTGTAACTCATGCAGAGGCTACTTGTCTGCCAAAGGCCCAGCGCTGGCCGGCACTAACTCACTTGGAAGCTGGTTATATGTTAATATACACAGAGGCTGGCAAATGCATCTGAGAGCTTCCAAAGGGGCCCAGGAAACAGATATGTTTATTCAAATCTTCTTGACAACAAAGGATGGGCTTGAAGAGACACAAGTGCATTTCCTCCTGCGACTGTACGTACAAATGCTGCACTAATGAGATGAAAATGTTTCCAGCATCAAGGATGCCTCTCTGGGGCCTGACGCAGGCTAGAGAGCCGCCCAGCTGGCTCTTAACCACAGAGCCCAGATCAAGCACTAAAGCCGGACTGTTGCTGTTGTTACTGTTGTTGTGTGTCCAGTCAGGACTCCATCGGGTTTTCAGAGGCAGTCAGTCACATGGGAGGAGATGGTCCATCTTCCTCCCATTGTGCAGCAGCTGGCGGATTCAAACTGTGTGTCTTTCAGATCGCAGGGCAGCTTCTTACCACTAGGCCACCAGAGCTCCCTGGAGCCAGGCTGCTACTATTTAAACCTAAAAAGAGACGGTCTTGGTTGTGCAGGGCTTGAACATTTGGCTGCTCACTGAAAGGCTGGAGGTTTCAAAGCATTAGCAGATCTGCAGGACGGAACCAAACCCAGCAGTCTTCTTTCATAAATCACAGCCTTAGAAACCTGACCACTAGGAAGTTCTACTCTTGTCCTATAGGGTGGCAGGAGTTGGAAGATAACAACTTAAAGGTATATAGCAATGACAAACCTACCAGTTGGAAAGGTTACATCAAATACTCAAAACTGCTAGTTTCAGGACATGCAGGGCAGTGGGCTGGGAAGGAAGTATGCAGAAAACATGCTCCCCTTCCTTCCTTCCCTTCCAGGCTTGCTTATTTTGTTCCAAGTCTTCCCACTTCTATTGTTATTTTCCAGTCAGTTGGCCCCTGACTCACCAAGACCCTGTGTACAATGAGTTCAAACCCTGTGATAGATCATGATTTTTCCAGCTGGTATGTCAGAAGTAGATTGCCAGGGCTTTCTTCCTATGATTTCTTAGACTGGCAGCTCTCCTGAATCATGTTCTGCATCAAAACAAGGTGCAACTGTGGAATTCATATAAAGTGGAGAGCCTGAGCCTGCATTGTGCCCCAGCATGAGTATAGCTTCTCCTACAATTTTCTAAAATCTCACTGACTTCTGTTTTACCACCTGACACATGAATGTCTCGCGTGAGGTAAAGCAAGCATCCTGTGCTGGTTTCTGCAATGGCTGCTGTGACTTAATTGGGCATCAGACGGTGGAAGCACAGAATGCAGGGAGTTCATGTTGTGCTTCGGCATGATGACACGTCTCCACAAAGCTTGGGTGCAGGCAGAGTGGTGACCCTGCCCTTCACTCTCACTCATGACCGGCCAGGACAGTTCCATTGGAATCTGATGATACACGATACATTTTTTTACTTTAGCAGACACTTTGAAATCTAATTTTTACATATCTTTTTAAAAGTGAACCAGAAAAAGGACAGAAAATGGTCTTCAAAGGTAGGCATAACTTTTGTTCATGGAAAACACTGGAAGCAGTATAAATTAGAAATATCTGATGCCCTACAGACAAGAGGATTAGATTAATGACAGATTATGTATGGAATGAAGGGGACACCTCAGAGCCATTTGAAATGAAGGTGGAGAGAAGCCTTTGGACATACAAGAAGGTCACATACACCTCCCAGAGCCAGTGCAACAAGAAAAGCTCGGGTTACAGAAGAGTATATTTAATTTTGCAACATATCCCATGGAGAAGAATTGGATACTGTCTCTGAATGAATGGGTTTATGGATATCCATTAACGGTGCTTGACAATTTCCTGCTAGATCTGTAAGGAACATGTAATGCTTTAGTAATGAGGAAAAAGAAGCTGTTCTTAGGACGCAATAGTTAAGTGCTTGGCTGGTACTGCCAACATTCTGAGTAAGTGGAAAAGTGAGAACTCCACGGAAGACTTCCATTTCATCTACACATTGTACAGCTCTTCTTCATTCTATTTAAATGCATCGTATGCAACCTTCTCCTGACCTTCCTTCCCATTTAAGCTTTCACCAGATCTCACTGTTCCTTGGAATTATTTTTAAAATAAAATTCCATCTCTCTCATTCCCATGGTCCACTCCTTTCTCTTCTCATACATTGGCAATCTCTTTAATGGTTTAGTGTATTTTTTATTTGAATATGCTTGTACATAGGGTCGCTATGAGTCGCAGGCGACACGACGGCACATAACAACAACATGCTTTTCCAAGATATAGACTGTTGCTGTATAAGTGTATGCAAATGACACTGTATTCTATTTATTGTTTTCTATGTTCTCACTAAGTATTGTTTTCAAGATCCATTCATGTTGATACACATGTTGTTTATTTACTACTTCTAATGTCTACAAGTAGTCTATGGACTAAATAAAGAGAGCTCTGGTGGTCTAGTGGCAAGAAGCTGCACTGCAATCCCTAAGGTGTATGGTTCATATCTACCAGCTGTTCTGTGGGAGAACGGTGGGCAATCTCCTCCTGTGCCCCTGAAAACCTGCGGACAGTCAGTTATGGGTAGGATCCGACTCGATGGTACACAACAACAATAATGTCTGCAAAATATTCCAATTTCCTCTAATCTACTCACCAAGTGCTGGGTATCTAAAATTCTCTTTGCCCCATACAGGCTGCCATGGAGCATGGTAGTGCATTTTCCTTATGGAATCTGTTAGAGAACCTCCCTAGGATGCATATCCAGTGGGAAGGGACTAGAAAGTTAGTGCCCAAGGTGTTAATTTCCCCAATGTGCTCTCTAGAATAACTATCCCAGGTTGCTCACCCATCTACACGAGATGCCGTGTCCCATCTCCATGCTAACCTTTGATATTTTTTCCAATTATCTTTGATTTTGAGCATCATTTTTGTGAGCTACCTGGGTTTATTCTCACATTATGAAAGAATAGTCAAGAGCAGTGGTTCTCAATTCTGGCTGCCCATTAGTATCTAGGGGAGTTTTTGTTTTTGTTTTTGTTTTTGTTTTTAAAAAAAATACAGAATCCTAGACCTTATAGAAGCCTCAGAATATCTAGGATGAGACCCAGGCACCAATACAATTTTCCAAACATTCACAGCTAATACCAGTGAGTAATTGAAGAAAAGAGTCACTGTCTCCTTTAATGCTTCAACAATGCTCAGTCTACTGCAGTGCAATTCCCACTCACTGTTCCAGACCCCTACTGCTCTTAAGAAAGACATCAATGCTTACCTAATAGCCAGCCAGTCTGGTTCTCTTCTTCCCACTGCATGCTCGCTCTACGAGGTGGTCCTTGTCATACCCATGGTGTCAACTAAGACTTTCTGTTTTCAACCATGTTGATCATCACTCCACTCACCCAAACCAACTCCCCTGCTCCCGGGTTGATGTCTACTACTCACTGGATATCCAGAATTGAAAACCAGAGTTAATTCTTGCTATTTAACTACTCTCAAAGCTTTCTTCTCATCTCCCATGTTCTTTCCATCCTACCTTCAAGGTAAAAGCCCAGGCCATCATATTATTATGTTTCCTGTTTTCTCCCAACACTTAAGACAGAGTTAACCATCTACGCATTAAGAATGCTGAAAAAAAATGCTATTGGTTCCTTAGTCCTTACTATTTATAATCCAAACACTGAACACCTTGTCTTTCTCCAGGAATATCAAGTTCTTTCATGAAAGCCAAGTTTATCACCCAGAATTCTCCCTGGAAGGCAGAATTAATCTCCAATTAAGATGTTGCTTTTGGATTAACAATAATAAAATTGAAAAGAGCCCCACCTGTAGACAGACATAATCCTGCACCAAGACACATGGTTGGAGAAACGAGAATGTGCTTGATTCCTTTCCCACTCTCTGATTTGGTCCATTGTCC